GAGAGGCAGGTGGGCGGGGGCCTCCGCTCTGCATCCGGGGGTGAGTCTGTGCCCACGAGCTGGGCTGACGGCAGCGGGGAGCCTGTGAAAACTCATCTCTGCCCTGACCTGTTTGTCCCGGCCTCAGCCAGTGTCGTGGAACTCTGGGGTAGGTCGCGGGCTGACACCAAGACCTGGCCTTCTGTCGTGGGCAGTTTTCCCTGGAGGCAGGACGTTCCCTGAGAATGTTCTGTCACCTGTCAGCTGGTGGGTTGAACCGCTGGTCCACCGGCCCCTCTCGCCCCGAGTCCCTCGTGTGAGGCCGTGGTGTCCTCTCAGCCGGTCCTGAAACAGCAGGAGGACCCCGGGGCTGCCCCGTCTTCCTCGTTTCCGGAGCACTAAGGCCTTGAAGGGTTGCAAGCTGGAGACCAGGATGGAACAAGGCTGGTCCCAACATTCGCCCCAGTGTCCGGCCAGGGTCCCGTCTCAGCCCGGAGCCCCCCACCCCTGCTCCGCCCAGCTCTCTCTAATAGGACCCCCTGCCTCTCTGCCTTTGTTTCCCCACTCTTTTGGGGGGTATATTTTTCAATTCTTTTTTGATCCCCAAAGGACTCTCTATTTTCAAGTTTTAAATGTTTATTTAGCACAACATATTTTAACAATGATGGAAATTCAGACCGTAAGAAGAATCCTCAGAACGCAGAGCTCCTTGTCATAGGGCCCTGCCGCCCCCTCCCCTCCGTCCCAGGCCTGGCTCAATGCCCTGAGTCACTATAGTTGTGGCACATAACCTGCTGTCTGGGGAACACAGCTGTGTTTCCTGTGTCTGAAGCAGCCCCGGGGCTCCGGCTGCAGCTACCCCGAAATGAGGTGATGCACCCAGTGTTTCTTGGACAAATGCTGCAGGCGGGGAGTTGCACCTGTTGGCGGGATTGAACACATGGGAGAGAGGGTGCAGGGGGGTGGAGAGAGGTGGAGAAGGAGGACCTTGCTTCGCCAGTTCTGTGTGCACAACCCACGCTTGGTTTTAGGAACAGACGTGATGCTGCTTGAGGACTACACATCTGATGACAACCCTCCCTCCCACTGTACTTGCCCCCCCCCCAAGAGAAGGAGCTCCGTGACCTTTGAGGATCAAGTGGAGCAAATCAAAGGTGGGTGTGTGCTGATGCTTCAGGGCCGCCTGGGGGGACAGGCATGGACCTGGGCAAATTCCCTGGCTCAGCCCTGCTCCCATCCCCAGCATCCCAGGCCTCCCCGCCTTGCCCTCCCCGCCCTGCTTGCTTCCAGCCCCGCCCGTCACACTTGGCCTCAGGCCTCCCACTGCTGGAGTGGGAAGGTGGGAAGGGAGGGGCTGTTGAACTCTAGGTGGACACATACACACACACACACACACACAGATCCTGATTCCCATCTCTTTCCTCGGGAAGCTGCCGGATTGGGTAAAAGTCTGAGCCCTCCGTAGTTTCTCTCCTTTCTGGGTCAGGCGTGGGCAGAGATCTGAACTTGCCCGCTCTGAGCCCCGCTTCCTCACGTGGGAAATGGAAGCAGTGGCCCCCCAAGTGTTCCTAGATCAGCAGAGGCTGCCGCTGCGACCATCCCCCCGTGACCATCCGTTGGCCCTGGAGTCGATGAGGGCCCGAGAGTTCCGTGAACAGAATGAGCTCTGTGGCGCCCGTGCTTTTCTCCCACCTGTCCTGATTCCAGCCCCAGCCCCCAGTCGCCTCTGAATGGGAAACCAGACCCTCCGTTCCAGAGGCAGCTTGGTGCTAGGGTTGGAATCAGGACAGGTGGGAGACAAGTGTTAGGGTCTGGTTTCCCATCCAGACACGCTGATCAGAAGAGGGATGGGGGACTGTGCAGAGTGCCCACGGAAGGAAGGTCCTCTCTGCTCCGAATCCCAGCATGTGAGGACAGCCACCAGCACGACGGGTGTGGACATGGTGTCAGGGACTCAGGGATGCTGACTGTGACAGGAAGGGAGAGCCCTGTCAGAGCCTTGGGTTGGCGGTGAATCCCAGGTTTTCTCCCAGCCAAATTGTGGGGCAGTCACAGTGGTCAGAGAGACAAAGTAGACTCCAGGACAGAGTCTGGCCTGCAGCCTTGTGGGCTTTATCATATTTTACCCCCGGGAATAAAAAATGAGTGACTCCTTCCCTGATCCGCCCAGCCCACCTAGGCCAGTCTGGCTGCATCAGGCCTGCTTAGTGGGGATGGCAGTTGGGAGGGCCGCCTGTCTGCAGCCAGAGAGGAGCACAGGGAAGAGGGGCCGGGGGAGGCCACGTGTCCCTCCCCTCTTCCTTCATCACGTGTGTGAAGCACGCCGGGGCTGGCTGCAGATTCCCCGAAATGGATGACACAGGGACTGTTCATCACGTGGGGCGGAAGTTGCCCCCTCTCCAGAAAATGTGAGGGGTAGGGGATGAACTGCCCCCCCCAAAATGGCAGGGGACAGATGGGCAGCCAGGGCAGTAATAGTAAGGCACTGGGTGTGAGGTTGAAGATTCGCTGTCTCTGTTGGTGTGAGTTGTCAGGGCTCCTAATCTTGGGTGGGGCGCAGACCTTGATGTTACTTCCAACCTTGAGGTTCTGGCTGGCGTGAGCCAGTGTGGCCAGGAGATAGGCATTATATGGTTCTAGGGAGCTGAAGTACCAGAGAATTCTTTCAAAGGTGTGGAATTTTGAATATCATTCCTAGGAAGTATTTATCAAGCCTCTCTTGTGGGCCAGACCTAGAGGTCTCAGAAAGAATTGCTTAATGATCACAGTTTCCTGACCCTAGGAAGAGGTGCCCCGTGACCTTCTCTCTGTAGGTGAGGAAGCAGGTCAGTTCCACGCCTCCCCAGGTAGGACCTGGGACGTCAGGGATTCGAGCCTAGGGAACGTGGCCACAGAACCCACGCCCTCGGTTTGCGCCGCCCCCTCCCCGGGCCGTGAAGTATCCGCGGGCACATTCCCCGTAGTCGCGGCTCGCAGTTCTCGGCTAACCTTTCTGCTTCCCCGTCAGATGCTGCCAGGAACCCTGTTCTTCATGTGAAAGCCGAAGTGCACGAGTCCTTGGACAGTTATGCGGCCAGCTTGGCCAAAGTCATAGAGGCCGAAGCCAAGATCAAGCTGTTCGGGGAGGAGGCGTTGCCCGGGGTCCTGGCCGCAGCACGGACGGTCCCAGGGGCCGGCTTCGGGGGCCGCCGAGGCAGCAGGACTCCTGCGGGTCAGAGGCTGCAGCTGCAGAGCATCGAGGAGGGAGACATTTTAGCTGCAGAACCGCGATGAGGGCCTCAGGGCGGACTGGCCCACAGAGGGGCGCCCCGGGGAGGGATATCTGGGGTGCAGCCCCCCGGAAAAACGCTGACCACGGGGTCTTGTGAGAGCGCCCGCCGGCTCCGGGTGGGCCCTGGCGATGGGACCAGAGACGTCGGAGGCTCCAGGGCAAGCAGACGGAGGTGTGGCCATGACTTTTTGGGAGGGGGTAATGGAAGGGAGACTAGGGACCGTGGCTTGGAAGGAAACGGCCGCGTGGGTTACTTCCTCTACTCCAGGACGTCCAGGGGCAGCCGGGCACTGTCCCAGAGGTCTCGGGAGGTAAGCCCTTCGCGGTGCTCCTGGAAGAACGGCACTTCTTCCTGCCAGAGCAGGACCGTCCCCTGCGCGTCCGCGTGGTTGGTGCAGGCCACCCTGAATGCTCCCCGGAGGAGAACCTGGGAGCAGAGCTTCTCGCAGGGGCTTCCACGCCTCCATCCTGGTGGGGACCTTGCAGTCATCGGGGGCCGCCTGCTGGTGCTAGTGGGGGCGGCGCGGCCCCGGGGCTGCTGTCACTGGGGATGGGGCCGCCCTGCCCCCCTCCCTATTGACTGATGCTTTGGTATTTAAAAAGAAGGGAGCAACCACTATACAAGATACGAGGAAGGAGCAGGTGCCAGATGTTTCATTTCGAGAACTAAAAAAATAATGCATTTGGTTAGGGCCCCCGCCCCCCATCTTCCCAAGCGGGAGCGGGGCTGTGGTGCCCAGCTGGGCGGGGAAACGGAGCTGCTGTTCTCCCGGGAGGGCGTCCCCTTCGCGCAGGGAGGCCTGGCGCCAGCTTGCTTGTGGTGTCCACCGCCCAGAGCAGCCGGCTTGCGGGCCCCGGGCAGCGTGCCACAGGACGGCGGAGGAAGGCGCTCCGCCGACGCTCTTGGCCCAGCTCCTCCTCTTGGACCCTTTGGGACTTCGTGTCACTTCTCGAGCCATCCGGAAAGTGGGGTAAGGGGGTGGGAAGATCATGTACCGCTGTGGTCTTTGATGTCCTCGGCATCTATAGTGGCGGGGGGGAACCCTCGGGCCAACGCGGGCACAGCTTTGATGGCGTCTGACGGCCGAGCGCAGACCTGCGGGCGACGTGTATGGGCTCGCCCGGACCGGGTGGAGCGGGCGGGGTGGGGGGGGCTCCCCGAAGGCCGACCCCCCGGACGCAGAAGCGGAGCGCCGGGAGTGTGAGCTGTCCGGTTAGGGCTTGCCCGGCCCCCCTTTGAGGTGGGACAGCAGCAGCGCAGGGGCGACGTGGGAAGCCGCGGGTAGCCCTCGCCGCCCTCCCCGCCTTCCGAACTCGAGGGCGTCGGTAGAGGGCAGGCCCCCAGGAGATGCAGCTACTCCAGACGGCACGTTCCCTCTGTGGTGGTGCCTTTGGCGCCTCGCCAGCTCCTGGTGACATGTCGTCCTTTTGCCGTCTGGCGGGAAGCCCTTTCCCGCGGCGTGGGGCTTGCTGCCTTCGCGGCGCCCGCGCCCATCAGCAGTGCTCCCGGTCGCCTGGGCGCCCCGCGGGGGTCTAGGTTCGGGGTGTGGGGGGTGGTGGTGGCTTTTCCGAAGGAGCGGAGGGCAGCTGCACCCGTGGGCTCTGCTCCCGCTCCCGGGGGGCATTCCTAAACCTGAGGGCATTTTTTTTAAAGATCTTATTTATTTGAGAGAGAAAAAGAGGGAGAGCGAGTGTGAGCAGGGGGAGGGGCAGAGGGAGAAGCAGGCTACCCGCTGAGCGGGGAGCCCGACTCGGGGCTCGATCCCAGGTCCCCGGGATCATGACCTGAGCCGAAGGCAGACGCTTAACCTACTGGGCCACGCAGACGCCCCTCCGAGGGCATTTCATGTGCTCTGCGGGTATGTATTTCTCCGTACACTTGTCCGGTAAAGGGACCATATCCTGACCGACTAAGATGCCCGGAGATGGCCTTTGCCTCTAGGCTGCAACAGCCGGGCGGCTTGCCCCTTAGGCCTTCTCGAGAGCAGCACATTGGCTTGCAAGCGGGGGTGGAGGGGGGCTTCCCCAGGACTGCACAGGCCGGGCTGGAGGGAGTCTTGAGACCCCGAGTCCCCACTGGCAGATCCCAGACCAGCTGGGGTCAGCTAGGGTTTCGTCCGAGCCTGTCTAGAGCTAGCGCACTTCACAGAGTCCCCGCCTTCCCTGTTTTCTGCGGACACTGCCGGACGCGGCGCATGCGCTCCGAGCAAAGCACCGGGCTGGGCGCGGGGCAGAAGCTCTAAAGCGTTCCGCTCGTTCCGCTCGTTATCACGCAGGGAGAGGCCTGGCGGAGCGAGATGCCGAGAAATGGCAAAGTCAGGTCCTCTTACTCTTCAGCGGAGGGAGGCATTTCCAGGTAGGGGACTTAGGGACGGAGGGGACCGTCTGAGCCAAGCCGCGGAGGATTTCGGGCAGCTAGAACCACAGTTTGCCTATTCAGGAATTCCAGTCTGCCTTGATGCAGCCTTAGAGTTAGAGCGAGCAAGAGCGAGTGAGGAAAGGAGGAGCACGGGAGGGAGGCGGTGAGGAGAGGAAGAGGCGGAAATCCGCACACTTTCTCAAGTTCCCCTGCCTTCCGTGTAGAAGGTCAAAACCCCAACTGCCCCCACCAAACCCGGCGTGCCAGCTTTATCCTGGGCAGCCTGAGGCCTTCCTAGGGGACACTGGGCCACACGGTCGCTTAAGAATCTCAGTCCTGCGGGTCCCGGTTTTGACAGGCCCACGTTGAGGGCTGTTGCCCATCTTTGCCTCTCTTATTGAAGCTGCCACTTGACCGGGTCCCTGTGCTGTGCCCCGGATGCCAGGCTTGGGGGCCCTGGGGGCGCACGCTCCCGAGCACGCGGCGCTGGGGCGTTCAGGGCCCCGACACTAGGGGGCAGCAGTGGGGCTGTGCGCCGTGAGCCGTATCTGGCCGGGAAGGGAAGGGTGCGGCTGAACGCCGGTTCGCTCCCCGCGGAGCCGGTGCCCCCTGCAGCCCGCAGCCTCCGGAGCCCCGGCCGGCAGCTCTATTCCGTGCGAGACCCGCCGCGCGCAGCGTCTCCGATGGGCGCTGGGGCGGGAGGGCCGGCGGCGCAGCGTTCTCCAGCCCCATTGCGGGAGCCGCGGTGCGGCGCTGCGCGGAGCCGAGCGAGCCGGGAGACTGCCGCGGGATTTGCAGCCTTGAGGCCGTTCGTGGTGGGACCGGAGAGCGACGGAAAGAGCGCTGATAACGGAGGAGATCTTAGGACGTGTTCCGACTTGACGACGGAACGCTTCTCCCATCCGGACAGGAGGCCCTTGAGATGCTTGTCGTTAGAGACAGTCTCTGGATGGACCACAGGGTCTGCCCATGTCGAGCGGTCAGCCTGGAGCCCCGGCTGCCCTCCTGTCCACGGAACCGGGGAGGGTGACGTGGCTACGAAAGGGCGAGCGGGGGGTGGGAGGGCGCAGCAGGCTCTGGGTCCCCATCCCGCGCTGCCGCTTCCGAGCCGGGCAGCCTTGGGCCCCTCAGTCTTGCATCGCGGTTGTCTCATCGATACGACGAGGTGTGCAATGTCTTCCTCTGTGGGGACGCGGAGTGCAGGTGGGCCCCCTCCGAGGTGACCCTGCGGATCGCAGCGTCCTGCGCGGTACCTGGAGCTGAGCCTCCCTGTGGCTGCCCGGTCGCGGGAGGTGGGTGCGTTAGTCTGGTTTTAGGGGCATCTCCAGGACAGGAAGTGAAACTCTGGCGAGGATAACTGTTATCCGGGATAGGAGGTGCTGGGGGTTGTTGCCATGGGAATTGTGTCTTCTGGGAAGGGGGATGTGGCGAGGCAGGGGAAGGCAAGAGAAAGGGAGGAAAGGGTGAAGTAGCGTTTGGAATTTAAGAGATCTGAAGGAGCAACAATGAGCTTTTCTGTTAATGGCAATCAAAGATGAGGGGCCCCTGGGGGCCTGCTGGAGAGTCCCAAGCCAGGGCACGAGTTCAGCCTTGACCTCCCTTACAGCCCCTGCGACGGGACCTGGGTGCTAAGGACAGCTCTGTCCCCCAGTGATAGTGACTGCTTGGCCGGAGGTCTTGGACTCACAGAGTCCTTTGATCCTCCAAGCCCCCGTGGCAGGAGGCCATACAGGGATGGGAGTCCACGCTGGTACCCACAGTATATGCAGAACCCCAGGTGAGTCCCATGGAAGACAGAAGGGACGTCACAATTTTCACTCTAAAGCAAAGGAAAATGGCTGTCATATGTGACTGTAGGAGGGGACAGAGCCTGACCACCCTTCTGGGTTGGGGAGCGGGGACACACAGAATCCAGGGAGAGAAGCCTAGGGATTGTCTGACCTCCCAGAGTGCATTAAGCCAGAGTCTGGGTCAAATGCCAGGTCTTGGCCATGGGACTGAGAAGGAGCCAACTTGCAACTTTGCAGAGGAGGAGGAGAAAGGGAGGAGGTGGAGGGATACTTAGAAGTCCTCATTATTAGAATAGGCTAGCTGGGCTCAGTAGGTGGGTAGAAACTGTTGGAGACCAGAGAGCTGGGGAGCCTGGATTATCGGCTTCCCAGACCTAAAAAAAAAAAAAAACGGCAACCCAAGGAAAGTGATTGGATTTATTTGAAAGATTTCAAAGCACAAACTCAAATCTGCATAAGATTACCAAGAGCACAATTTTGCTCAATGTTTTTTTTTTAAAGATTTTATTTATTTGACAGAGAGAGATACAGCGAGAGAGGGAACACAAGCAGCGGGAGTGGGAGAGGGAGAAGCAGGCTTCCCGCCGAGCAGGGAGCCCGATGCGGGGCTCGATCCCAGGACCCTGGGATCACAACCCGAGCCGAAGGCAGACGCTTAACAACTGAGCCACCCAGGTGCCCCTTACTCAATGTTATTTTTAGGAGAACGTAATACACAAAGCTGTGTTCATTTCCCTCAGAATTTTCCTGAATAGTATTAACGGCTTAGGAATTAGAAGCCATTTCTGGTTTTCCTTGTCACGCCACCATTTTGAAATATCCCATGTCACAGGTAAGTGAGCCCCTCCTGGATGAAAAGACAGCCCCACGGGGATCACGGGCCTGGGCAAGCATGGCCACCCCGAATGCTGCGGAGCGAGCCTGTTTGGTGGGAAGCAGGTCTGTCACTCTGGTGTGGATACGCTAAGAGACAGGAGTTCTGGGCTGTGTTCTGATAACGGACCCCTGGATGCAGAAGTTGTTAAAAACCTTCAAAGCAAAACAAAAGCAAGCTAATCCTGAAATATATTTCACTTGAAGTTTTTGGATGGTTTTTTTTTTAAGATAAGAAAAATGCTTAGGATTATTATAAATCATAATATTAATAAATGAGTAAAATATATTTAGAATAGTTTTGTCTACCTGATTAAATATCTGTTTTGGTACATGTATAGCTGTGGAAATTGTGGATTTGTACTTGGGCTGTGGACTTTCTGAATGTGTCCCCCTTGACCCACTGTGTGCAGCCACATCCTCGAGTGCAGCCTCCCTTCCGGTAGGCTTACAAGGGGAAGGAGACAGAGCAGGAAGGAGCTGATGGATGTAGAACTGGGAGGTGGCGATGTCCACACCACACTCACCTCAGTACATCCATCCATGTGCTGTTCATAAATTCCTCGAAGACAATTAAATTCAGAGACTGTTATTAAATGACTTAGCATGACCCAGAAATACAGAACACTCTCATTTTTATTTAAGATTTTTTTTTTTAAAGATTTTACTTATGTATTTGAGAGAGCGAGAGAGAGAACATGAGCAGGGGGGAGAGGGAGAAGCAGGCTCTCCCCTGAGCAGGGAGCCCAACATGGGGCTCAATCCCAGGACCCTGAGATTGTGATCTGAGCCAAAGGCAGACGCTTAACCCACTGAACCACCCAGGCACCCTATTTTTTAAAGATTTTCAAGAAATCTCTACATGCAACATGGGCTCAAACTCACAACCCCAAGATCAGAGTCACCTGCGGTTACCGCCTGAGCCAGCCAGGCACCTCCTAACCCAAGGTTTTTAAAGGAGGTTTAAATGGGGGTGGGGCGGGGGGTGGGGCCTGCTGTTTCTCCCCTGGCTCATACTCTCTCAAATAAAAAAAATCTTAAGGGGCGCCTGGGTGGCTCAGTTGGTTAAGCGACTGCCTTCGGCTCAGGTCATGATCCTGGAGTCCCGGGATCGAGTCCCACATCGGGCTCCCTGCTCGGCAGGGAGTCTGCTTCTCCCTCTGACCCTCCTCCCTCTCATGCTCTCTGTATCTCATTCTCTCTGTCTCAAATAAATAAATAAAAAATCTTTAAAAAAAAAAAAAATAAAGGAGGCTTAATGAACACCAACCCACTCTCTAGATGTCTGTCCCATAACCAGAGGCAAAGGGTGGGGGGCAGGTTGCCAGTGAAACTCAGCAACCTCCAGGCACAAAACCTACCACCTTTACCTGACCACCTCACCTGCCACCACTGAGATCATAATCCTGGGTCCAAGCTGCAGCTGAGCCCCAGGGTCCAGCTGTGGGACCGGCTGGGGCCTCCCCAACATACAGGGAGTTGGGAAGTGTCAACGCTGCCTCTAGAATGTTTTCTCTTTGCTGCCTCCTTGACTGCTTGTCTGGCCTGCCCGCTCCTTTTTAACACACAGTACCCACACTCTGCAAAATTAACAGCAGGGGACCTAACTCCTTTGACAAATACCATTAAATTAAAAAAAAAAAAAAAAGTAAGTTTTAAGGTTCCCAGCAAAACGGAGCAGAAAGGTCAGAGTTCGCATGTACCCTCTGCCCGCCCCCCCAGGCCCCCCTACTACCGACGTCCTGTGCCAGAGCGGACAGTACAATTTTGATTTTCTTCTGGGCTCTTCTAGCCAAAGAGCTACTACTCCTTGACCTCGCTGAGCCCTCCAGTAGCCTCTGCCCCACTCGCCTTCCAGCATCTCCCTACAGCATCTCCGTTACTGTTTTATTACAGGGCAAGAAATGACGTACGTCCTGTGCGCTTCCAGTGGTCATTTCAGTTGTTCCGTGAAGCCCTTCAAACTCCGTGGCTTCGTGGGGTCCTAACACAGCCCCAGGACACAGGTGGTACAAATAGGATTACCCACACTGTAGAGAGGAGGAAACAAGCCCAGAGAAGTCACATGGCTTAAGCAGATCCCATAACTCATTGGTAACCAGAAACTAAGACCCTGGTACTTTCCAGAAGTCATGCAGTGGCCCTGTTTGGCTAAAGCTCCTTGACCCCACTGAGCCCTCCAGTAGCCTCTGCCCCACCCACCTTCCTTTTCCCTTTGACCATTTACCACATTTCCTAATGTGAAAACATATGTGCCCTGTCTAGGGTGAGAGCCAGATTCTGAAGTCCAACTGAAGTTACTGAGCCAACAGAAGAGTTCTTTGCCCTCTATCCAAAAAGCCAATCTGCCTTCTCTCAGTAGCAGGTGTTCCTGGCCTTGCAGCCAGCCTGTGGGAAGGGGCGGTGCCAGCTCTCCACGCTGGCCCCCCCATGAGTCCTGCACGGCCCAGCTGGAGAAAAGCACGGCACTTTGGGAGAGGGGAGGGAGGATGATGGCAGGGTTAAGTCTACAGGAGCATTTCAGCTCCGAACCCCCAAGCTACAGGCCTGGGTGGAGTCGGACACTAGAGTAAAGGAAGACCCGGAATCCTAAGACTGGATGGTCAACAGCTTTCAGTTGAAATCTAGAAGTTAGAGAGGGGAAGACCGGAAGCCAGAGCTTCCAGAGCTCCATCATGGGAGCTAGCCGCAATGCTCTGTGCTTACTGCTGGAAGCCAGACCCCTGTACTTGGGTAGAGAGGTACCGCTAATCGTGACAGACGGTGACTGGAAGTGAAGATAACATGCTGTGTAAAGAGAAATGAAAAAAAGCTCCTCTATGTGATTCTATCACACAGAAGCCAAAACAGAAAAGGTTATCAAGTCTAGAAAATAGAGAAAGAGCCTTATGTTACCGAGAAGACCAGAAAACGTGGGTGAAGGTAGTAAAGCATGAAATAAAAAGTCATATTCAGGATATCTTAAAACAACCAACTTCTTTAATTAGAAAGCAACAAACATGCAAATGGCAAGTGTAGAAATTTATTTGAACCAACATTTTCACTATAATGAAAATTACTCTTCCACATTGATCCAAGCTCTCATATCTGAAGGTTAGGGAAAATATTGCACTTTGCATTTTCTAGCACTCCTCACACATGGCAAAAAGTTTTTTAAACATTTTGCTAGTTTTGTTTTACACACTCTTCCAAATTCATGCACACAATCATTCCAAACCAATGTTACGTTATCCCGAAAAAAGGGAAAACTCCAAAAACACCATAACCTTAAAATTGCACTAAAGCTCTGTAAAGAAAAAAATAGAATAAATGTCTTCTACAAATTTCAGAACATCTAAGTGCTTGCCAATAACAGTTGGTTATTCCTCATCCTCATTTTCATTCTCCTGACCAGAGCCTTCTGATCTGTCACCCTCCAACCGGTCTGCAAAACATATATGACACCCACAAGAAGAAATGCTTTTAGTATTATAATTGAAAGAACTTTCAATACCTTTTAGTTAAAACTGATTAAAATGTATACAGCCCAACACATCATCATGTAAAAATCAGTTCACTTCTGTGTGTAGATAAGTTAGTTTTTGCCGCTAAAAACAAATAAAAAACAAGTAAAGGAAACAGAGCACTGTAACTTTGAATATGCATGTAATTCTAAACCTATAAAAACTAAAAAGAAAAACCCTAGGGATCTTGATATATCATGGTCTACTGCAGTGGTTTTCAAGCCGTGTTCCTTGGAGTCCAGGAGCCTAAGGAGGCGTATCATGCCACCAGAAAGACTGAGGGGAGGCTGTGGGGGAACCTGGGGACCATTCTTGAGGATCTGTGTGTTTAAAGATTTTTTAAATATCTGCTATGTTCCAGGCGTTGTGCTAAGAACGGTGGCCAAAACAGACACGTGGTCTCTGCCCTCAAGGAGCTTATCTAGATTAACCACTCAAGTGAAAATATAACTATAAACTGGTGAGTGAACACGGCATGCTCTCTCCAGCTTTCACGATTTATCCTTGCTGTTCCTCTGCTTGGGACACTCGCCCAGTTTTCCAGCTATAAAGGTTCTGCTTACTCATCTCAATACAACTATTATCCCCTTTGTGAAATGTTTCCCAGACTTTTTCAAACATCCAACCTGCAGAATGATGAACTCCTTCCTCTACACTCTAGACTCTCTGTGTCTATTGTGCAACGAAGATCCTAACTGCAGGGACATTTATTTGCGTGTCTTCTTACAGACCAGACCTCAAGGGCTTTTTGAGCTCCTGCGAGGGTAGGAGTTTTTTCTTTTTATCTTATATCCTCAGAGCCTCGTACAGGATGTTCAGGGACGGTTTATGAAATAAACGCATAGAAGTTTTACTGAGATCAGGTATGTCACATTAGGGTATGTAGAGAAGGCAACAGTATAAAAGGATGAGGATGAAGCCCATTCGGCCAAGAAGCATTTGCCCAAGGCAACGTGGAAAATACAAAGGTTAAACATGGGGGGAGGGCTGAGCCCCACTGTCAACTGCGAGAAGACTGAATCCTGAAATTTGATTACCTACAGAGGCTTAAACTCTCTCACTGGATCTTAAGTCAATAATACCAAGAGCAGTAGACAGAAGAGACTATATATTTATTGTCCAACTGAACTGGACTAAATCCCCTCTGTGCAGACTCCATTTCAAAGCCAAACTAATGAGATGATGTATGTGTATATGATTTACAACCTAAATTATACAAATTTTAGCTATCATCATTATTACATAAGTGTTCAATACACATTTGCAAAATAAGTGAACAAAAACAAGATTTGGATAGACCTTCATATATCACCAAGGAATCTAAACACAGTGGAAGAATCGCTGATCAATAAAAGGCTACCTAACGAATGTTAATATAAAAGAGATAACACTCTTTTTATTGTGTGATATACTTTCATGAGAGAATAAAACATGAGGTTGCTATCAGCTTAAGTAGATTACCATGAATGGGAATCCTGGATATGACTGACTAATTCAACAAACCTATTCCTGTCACGTCGGAAGCATGAGGAAGCAGGTCACACTATTTCTTTCAAAGTGTGTAGGGTTCTTATCCAAATTCCTTTTGTCACACTATGAATGAAGATGGGGAAATGGAGGGTTAACAAGAATTGTCTCAGCCTTTAAATCAGGGAGTTTAGGGTAGACATTAGGATTCTGCAGAGTCCAGGGGCGCCTGGGTGGCTCAGTGGTTAAGTATCTGCCTTCAGCTCAGGTCATGGTCCCAGGGATCCTGGGATTGAGTCCCGCATCGGGCTCCCTGCTCGGCAGGAAGCCTGCTTCTCCCTCTCCCACTCCCCCTGCTTGTGTTCCCTCTCTCGCTATCTCTCTCTGTGTCAAATAAATAAATAAAATCTTAAAAAAAAAAAAAAAAGGATTCTGCAGAGTCCAAAGCAAGCCATAAGGAGACAAGTGAGGGCCAAGAGTGTCTAATACAGGTCAGTGAATAACGGACAGTGGCTTCCAGAATGAGGAAGAGGGCAGAATAATTGTTCTTTTCTCAAACCCATCTCAACCAATTGCTGCACAGTCCTCTCTCTCAGAATGGAAACCCAGTTTCTAAGAATAAATTAAATGCAATCTTTTGTTCATGAAGTGCTACACCTCTGAGGCAGAACTGCAAAGCAGCTCAATGCTGACACCAATCTCTGGTTGGCAGTTACAGACCGAGGAGGTCTGAGAAACACTCTTCTTTTAAATGAAAACTGAAAATAAGAGTCGCTTCTACATCAGGAGACCCACCTCGAAAAAGCCATAGGCCCTAACTAACCAATGGGTTAGTTACAACCAGGCACAGTTAGCAAAAAAGGGAAAACTCCACACGTAGCCATGCCCCTTCATCTTCCCCCTTTAGAAACAGCCCCCACCCTCGGCCTCGTGGCAGACAGCCTGTCCTCTGCTTTCCTGAGCCACTGCTGGGCAGTGGATTCGATAAACTTCTAGCTCCTTTGTTCTGCCTCAGGTGGATACTTTCACTGCCCGTGCCACCGGCTTCCACCCAATCTGCTTCATCCCACATTTGGGGGCCCCCATCCCATCGAGAGAGACACCACATTTAGACACCATAGTCTTTAGTGAAGTATTCATGAGAATGACTTTGGTTGCTTTTTGGAAAATGCAAAAGCTCAAGCCCTATTTAGATAAAATGAGTGAAAATCTTCAGGGGGTAGGACCCAAGTGTTTGCAGCTGAAAAAGCCCGACAGAGGATCTGTAGTGCAGCCTTCATTAAAAATCACAGCTCTACCAGGAAGGCGCCGCCCCAAATCTATTCCCTGGACTTCCCAGGAAGCCTTGTGGAGTAATGGAGGGGCTGGACTATTCCGTGGCTAGCCTGCGCCTGCAGGATCACAGTCCGTTACTAACTCTCCTCGACTGTGCACACGTGATCATACTTGGAATACTGGAGACCAGGAGAGAAGGAGAGGACAGGGGTGGATAACTGACTCATCAAATAACTGGGTATCTTAAAGATAAAAGCAACTCTCGGGTACTTTTTCTCTCCAGTCTTTTACATAAGAGAAGCAAGAGGGTGAGTTAAGTTGACTAAACCAATTAGAAATTACGTCTTTTTGGTTGACAGCAAAAAGGACTGGAAGAAAGGGAATCTTCATGCTATAAAACTTACCTTATCTAATGCTAAAACCAAAGGAGGAGGGGAGTAGCCATGAGCTAACAAACTGCTACATCGGCAGCTGTATAAAACAGACGCGGCATAAACGAGAGAAGAATGGTTTTCAATAGAAAAACTCGGGAAGAGCCATTCGCCAGATAAGCTCTTTACAAGAACAAGTGAGTTTTAGGAATCCTAATCAGCAAATGTTTTTCTTGTTCTAGAAAATGCTGCCTCCCCTCAAATCTGAAATCTAAATGGATGAATTTTAAGGGTTACTCACTGTTACTGAAGAAAATGGATCGAAAGTGTTACAGTGATTAATAATACGGGAACCCAAAAGCTACTGCAAAAATATTTTGTTGGACTACTAACCTTTTCTGTTTAAATTCCATTTGAAATTTCCATTCTTTCCTGGTAGTAGTTAATATTAACAATTTGAATATTTTCTCCCCACCTCCTATGGGCTTCTTTCAATTCTTTAGATGTGCTCCACACTCTCCCCTCCAGGACTTTGAAAATTGCTACCTACCCTTTACTTTGCCTGGTACACTTTCTCTCCATTCCTCTCTCTGAGGAAGTGATATTTAATCCACGGCCGACAGAGACCTGACGATAAGTAGAAGGTATCCTAACAAAGAGTGAGGATGGGAGGGGGGTAGCACGGTGATAAAGATCCTGAGGTAGAAAAGACTTTGATGTGTCCCCCAAGTCAAAGAGGGACAGAGTGGACAGAGAAGGAGAGAATGCTGGGAATGAGCCTGAAAAGCAGTTTGAGCTGAGATCACCCAGTGGACTGCATGTCATATTCATGATCTAAATGTATTCCTGCAAGTGAACTTTCCAAGGTCAAAGGGAAGTAAGGGCTTGGAAGCCAGTTTCACATTCAGGCTTTACCATTCATCAGTTGTGTGACCTGGGGCAAGTTATTACAAATAACCAAAGTTGTAAAGGTTTGGAGCTAATTAGGAAAAATTTGTGAAATGACAGGTATGGTCCCTGATACATTATAGATACTCTAGAAATGGTGGTGGTTGTTACTATTAAATAATAGATAATATCCAACATATGAAGAAATTTATGAAATCAGTGAAGAACAACAAATACTCTTTTGTTTGATAAATGTATTTTGTTTATAATGGATACTGGATCTCTTCTATTATTACAAACAGATTATTCACTTCCTTCTTGAATATTAGTTATAATATTTACATTTTGTGTTTCTTTGGCACCAAACCTCATAGTGTATCAGTGAAAACAAAAAAAATATATAAAAAAAAATTACTGAGGTTATGTGTTTCAACCCTTGCAGTAGCATGTTACATTTATTTTTGTCTGGGCTAGGGTTAATTTTGACCACGTCTACCACTAAAGGGTACTTACTCTAACAGATCTTAAGGATTACGGTATGATCCTCCACACTGAGAAACACAGCTGATAAAAGTTTTCAAGTGACTTTGTCTTTTCATTCTGACATTTTTCAATACATTTGGTTCGTGAGGAAATAAGTTACTGTACTAAGATCAAGAGTTCACAGAACTCCTAGCTCAGAAGTTACGTTGCCTTCATTTTATGGTTAAAAGAAATTGTACAAATCACTTTAAAGCAGACCTGAAATAACATGATGTAATAATGGTGTTAATAATACACTGACAGTTCTTACCAGCTCGGATATGGTTCAGCGAAGCCAACATTCTCAACATGAAAGAGGCTGGCACCGTGATGGTGTTTCTGGTCTCTTCCAGCATGAGTTCATTTCGAGTTATAACCTACGGGGCAAGTGAAACAACCATGTCAAGAACCATGATGTAACTGTACTTTTTCCTTGAAGATTAGGAGAACAGTAAAAAACTTAGCAGGTCTGAGGAGGAATTACTTCATTCTTTATACACACACTGTGTATATTTCCACCATAAGGCTACTCGATGCCAGGTAATTATTTTAACTTGCCATTGAGGGAGTGACATCACAGGACACTACTCTTTCAACTGGCAGAAAGACAAAGGCCAAACTTTGAGGCCACTTAAAACCTTCAAGAATTCAGTTTATTTTTCACTTATGATTCGTTTCCCAGAGCAGTCTTCCCGTGTCTGCTCATTCCCTTCCCCTATGGCAGAGCTGATACATGTAGTGACACAGTGGGGTTAAATGATTTCCCCAGGGTCACTCAGATCCCTCGAGAAAATGTCACCTTGACTGAGGCAAAAGTAATCTTGAAAAATAAACTTTTGGATAAGAGTTACCAATGACTTGTGTCTTATGTACCAAGACAGCACTAAATGAATATCCATAAACACCTAAGGATCTAGTATGTAATCATGGGCAAAGGGCAAATGGCAAAGTTCATGGCAAAGGAAAAAAGGAAGAAAGGAAAGGATGAGAGGAAGACAAAGGTGCTAATGTGGTCAACGGCTCCCCAGTGATTTCATACAACACATTTTCAGCCCAGCAGGGCACCCCCAGGGCCCTTTACAATCTTGCCCCAAGGAGCTGCTTTCTTATCCACTCACCAACGGTTCACTTACCTTAGGACACCCTGCAAATTGCCGATTCTTCATCTCCAGGGCTCCTTAGCCCCCTGTATGCCTGGTGAACTCAGTCCAATTCGTACTTCCTCTGTGAAGACTCCCCCATCCATCTACCCCATTTACAAGCACAACTGCTCTTTTGCAAGGGCTTCCAGGACACTGTGCATGCCTCTCTACATTCTGGCTGACTGTTCAGTGTCTGTCTTTCCCACCAGTCTATAAGCTCTAAAGGGAAGGTTTTTTAAAATTCAGCACGGTGTCTGACATACGCCAAGTTCATAAATGTCCGTTAGAAAGCAGATGAGGGAATTGTGCTGTGAACTGTCAACCTTGGTCTAGAGTACTGGTTTTCTAACTTACTAATAACATTTTTTAGCAATGGACCCTTCTTTTATGTTTTAAAGAGGGCACAGCATCAACTTGAGCTGCAGTCACCTACTCATAGAAGCTTAACTGTTAGTAGCTGACTAAAGCCATGAACCCTTATTTTCATAAGAAATCTTGTATGAAAACCCACCAATAAAAACTCTGCCTAATGCTGGGGAGGAAAAGCCCAGAATTCAGCTTTTGTATCAGCCACCTTCCCCTCTCCCAATCCCACTAAAAACTGAGAGCTTCACACAGCCCAGTTTGAAAACTGTTGGTTTAATAAGGAGCTGAAGAAATCTGAAAATATGACAATAAAGGAAAAGATTCTCCAATCATTTGTTCTGCTACTTATCTGGCTGCAATTATGGAGGCCAGCCATAGTAAAACTCATTTTCTTAAAAGGACAGAAGGTTTTTTAAATGATTCTTCATTGTAATAAGCACAAAAATAGTCAATCTGTTTTTCTCAAACTATAATAACCTGGTATTACCAATAATCGATATTATAATTAGCAAAATAATATTTTGATTTTTAGCTCTCTAGTATTACAGACATGTTTTTATCTTAATTTTTCTTTTTCTTACAATTTGACCTCCTTAACTGAATAAACTTGTTTATGTTACCAATTAATAATGAGCTGCTTTGAGTATTTTTAAGAAAGCATTTCAGGAACAAAGTAACATACACTTTATAATAAGTATAAATAAAAATCTTACTTCATCAGCAAGTTTTCGGTTAAAAATCCTTGACTCTTCTAGTGGTGACCAGATCTTTATGTCATAATCTATACCAGATGAGGCTAGAACTAGAAATAAAATGTTGCATATTAATATAAAGCATAAAAATATGCCATTAAGACATGCATACATATGTTATATATTACACATGCATGTATGTATGTGTGTGTATATGTATACACACACACGTATATGTATAGCAAAACTGAGCTGGCATGGAAATTGTACTGATACATTTAATTGTTGACTGAGAATATTATTTAGAAGATTTCCTAAAAGTTACCCTAGAACATAATTTTAAGACCAACTTGCAATCACTCAAATTTCTTTCTTATCCACTGCCTTTTAGGAGAAACATGGGCAATGTCAAATGGAAGGCAAGAACAAGCCAAGCTCCTTTGTTCTGGTAAATTAACTTGGACATGTGAAGACTAACAAGGCTTGGAGGTTGAGTTTGGATAAGTAGAGTAAAGTGTAGTCAGCCAAACCTCTTGCAACTGGTAAAACTTAGAAGAAATATTAGAGAATAAACTCTTTAATCTATTTCCCCATACTTTCTGCCAAAAGGAGGTTATAAGTCTTTTTTGTTTTAAACCCAATGAGAGTCATAACAGGCTCTCGTGGCTGCCTTCTAGGATAATTTGCATTGTTCTTATATTAACAACTAGAACAAAAGTGGAGCTGACGTACTGATTTCTATAAAAGGCCATCTTACTTGGGTCAAACGGATGTGGCTGCAGGCAGTTTACCACATGATTATCAGCTTCCAGAAGCATTAAATGCTCAGCAGTATGACGATCCCAGATGAAGATATGGCCACAGTCAGAACCACTCATTACAAAATTAGCACCCCAGAAATTGGCTTCTTTTATCTAAGGGTTTAAAAAAAGAAAACTATAAGAAAATTCAAATCAAATATTAAAACCAAGATTTATTCTATTCTGCAATTGGAAATATTAATTGGCTTAGAAAATAACAAAAAATAGAAGAGAGTCTTTGTCTTCTATTATTTTAAAATGATGGAGATTTATCAGCAAGCATGAAACAACAGTAAATAATGAAAAATTCCCCATGAAAATAGAGATTTTGCTCTGTTCAATGCTATATTTTAGGGCCTTAAACAGTACTTGGCAACAGTAGGTGCTGAATTAGTAACTGCTAAAGGAATGAATGGGATTTCTGGGTTTTGGAAAGTATAATGGAAACTTCTATGTCTATATGTTTTTGAACGTTCCAAAAATGGTTCTACTTTAGCTTTATAAGATAATAAAAACAAATCATAGAAAAAAATGAATGGTTCCCTTTTGTATTTTGGTTTATGCCAAAAGAACGAAAAGTACCAATCTTTTTATTAGCTATTCTCTCACAATTGAGAAGGAAGGATATAAACATATTTACTTTAATGAAGCAATGAGACAACAGGATATACTGGAATGGTTAGGATGACATTTTTCAGTGGATGCATATGAATGAGCCATCCAAAATCTGTAGTTCAGGATGTTTTTCAATCATTTCACCAGCAGTTGCTACTTTGCTATTTTTGCCAAACCAAAGGGGGTAGACAGTTTTGTTGTTACTTAGCGTTACTGTTATATTTACTTAACTTCTTTTCTTTTTTCATTCCTACCCCTATATTTTCATCCAAAATTTTAACCAGCAAAATACAAGACATGTACACTGATTACTTCTATTAATAGTGAGCATTCTGTTTAGAATGATTAAATTGTTACCACCAATGATGTCTATAGAGAGAGCTAAGTAGTTCCCTGCCCCAAAGTAACTTTTTAAAGCAGGCTCTATGCCCAACGTGTGCTTGAACTCAGGACCCCTAGGTCAAGAGTCACATGCTCTATCAACTGAGCCAGCGAGGGGCCCCCCCAAAGTAACTTTTCCCCTTAACTCTGAAGAAAGCAGATTAAAACTGACTCTGTAGATACTTTTGGATGACTCAATGAATATATGAAAACAACACTTTCTAAATTTGAATGGTTCAGAGTTAATAGTTCTAACATGCTAATCATCTTGCAGGATCCTCTTAGTAAATAATTAATATCACACTGGGTGTATAAGACTTGTGGACTGTAAAACTTGAAAAGATTTTAGAGATCATCTGGTCTATTCTTATTTCATAGATGAGGACAGTAAAGTCTAGAGAGACAAAGTGACTAAAACAAATCTTGACTCATCAATCTTAAGAAGAGTTGTTATAAAGTAATCGGACTACATTTTGCAATGAGCCTGCATTCCATATATCTAAATCTTTCTCTCTAAATCAACCAAGGGGGCTAAAATGAGCTAAAAAAAATATACTAGACAGGTAGACCGCAAGTGTGAGAGAACAAAAGGAGGTAATTGTTACTTGTACCAGCTAAGAATTTTAAACTTCTACAACATATCCTTAGTAGGGCAGAATTTTCTTGTAAACAATAACGGTCTTTGGCAATATATTCTAGGACTAAAAGAACCATGTTTGGGTAAAGAGGTAACTGTTAAGGTACAATAATGCTATTACTGGAATTGCAGTGGCAATATATGAAGATCATCATTATGGAAAAATTCATATTATGAATCTGCAATTTCTCCAAAGAGTGCCATGAGCATTTGGTACCATTGTCCTGGAGTTGCGATGGCCCTTATAAACCATCTTTACTAGTGGCCTTCTAATGTTCAAAGTATCCAATTCTTCCATTTCTTTCCTTTCTTTCCTCCGCCTGAAGAACTCCTGAATGCGGGCAACAGCAGAGCGTCTATGAATTACATATTAAAAGAAAAAAACAAAAATAAATTTAAAAACATTCACAGGTCACTACAGGATCAAAATGAGGAACATTAAAATACAGTAAAGTCTAGACAATATTTTAAATAAGGCATCCCCAACCAAAGCATAAAAAGGCAGACACAACAGTGAGACTACATCAGACTAGTTGAGTTACTAAAACAAAATATTTTAGTGAAGAGATCACTTAGAAATTTGGTACTGGTTGAGAAAGTAAAGGAAATAGCATGCGGCACACTGGTTTTTAAAGGGCTATTTAATAAAAAAAAAAGATAGACAAAATTAATATGCAATTTACTACAAACAAAACAAATCCTATTCAATATCATTTCTCTTCTCCATATGAGGAAATGTAAAGGCATAAAGAGAAACCAAAGAAATTAAGGGTAACAACATAATAGCAGTGGGTAAACTTGTTTTGAGATTTTGTAAAGATGTTCCCAGCAAAGAACAGACTAGTCAAGAAAAAGAGGATATTAATATATGTACAATAAAACAGGGACTTTCAAATAGATTCTACATGGACTCCATGTAAGAGTATAGATTTGGAGCTAATGAGGCAGCTTTTACTCTCCTAAGAACTGAGTTGGTTACAGAGCTGGAGATTGAAGAATGATGGGCTCTTTTAAGATGGATTTAATTATTAGAAGAAACTTTTCCTAACACATGATATACTTAATAAGTCTGTTAGTTTGAATTTATTATTTAAAACATTGTATTTTGACATATAATAGACCAAAAAAGTCTACAAATCAGTAAGAAAAACAAACACTGTAACAGAAAAATAGGCAAAGGACAAGAGTAGGGAAACTATAGAAGAAATGAACAGTCAGCAAATATACAAAAGGATGCTGAGCCTCACTAATAATAAGATAAAAATAAAACAACAAATTGACCTCTTCGTCTCCCAGATTACAAAGATTTTAATGTCTATCAGAGTGGCAAGAGTATAGGAAAAACAGACACTACTGGCAGGAGTTTGAAAGTGGTTCTATATATAAAACACAAAGTGAACTCCTTTACTGGAAACTTTCCATTGAAGCAGAATACATACACAGGAAGGCATAATATCACAGGTGTGTAGCACAATGAATTTTCACAAACCAAACAAGCCCATGAACCAGCACCAGTACTGAGAAACGGAGCATAACCAAAATTCCAGAATTCTCCTAGTGCTTCACTCCCATCATTGCTCTCCCCTTAAAGAAAACCATTATTCTGACTTCTAACAGTATGATTACTTTTGCAAGTTTGTGAACACTAATTAAATGGAAACAGAGGATATATATTTTCCAACTTCTTTAGCTCAACATCATTTTCTAAGATTCATCCATGTTGTTTTATTTAGCTATAGTTAATTCATCCCCTTTGCTGCAGAATACTACTTTGTATAAATACATTATAATTTATATATCCATTGATGGACATTGGGTTGTTCACAGTTTTTGATTACTGAGTTACTGCTATTATCAACATCTGTCCATGTCCTTGGCAAACATATGTCCATGTTTCTGCTGGGTATATACCTAGGAGGAAAACAGCTGGACCACAGCATGTGCATATGGTCAGCTTTAATAGATACTTTCAAACAATTTTCCAAAGTGGTTACACCAATTTGCATTCCCACCAGCAATATATTGAGTTCCAGTTCACTAGAAATTAAATAATATCTTATTAAAATTTAAAATATGTATATGCTGGGGCACCTGGCTGGCTCAGTTGGTAGAACATGTGACTCTTGATCTTGGGGGTTGTGAGTTCAAGCCCCACATTGGATGTAGAGATTACATTAAAAAAAAAAATTTTTTTTTTTAAGATTTTATTTAGGGGCACCTGGGTGGCTCAGTCGTTAAGCATCTGCCTTCAGCTCCGGTCATGATCCCAGGATCATGGGATCGAGCCCCGCATTGGGCTCCCTGCTCCGAGAGAAGCCTGCTTCCCCCTCTCCCACTCCCCCTGCTTGTGTTTCCACTCTCGCTGTGTCTCTCTCTGTCGAATAAATAAATAAAATCTTAAAAAAAAAAAAAAGATTTTATTTATTTGGGAGAGAGGGAGAAAAGGAAAGGGAGAGAGAGTGAGAGAAGGGGGATGAGGGGCAGAGGGAGAGGGAGAGAATCTCAAGCAGACTCTGTGCTGAGCATGGAGCCCAACATGGGGCTCAT